TATATATATATATATATATTTGTATATTACCTTAGGGATAATCTCCCGTTCATGCGCATGCGCTGGTCGGGCCCAGTCATGCACATCTTTTAACAGATCTGATACCTACTTGCTCAAATAATCGTCGAAATCATCCATAGTCACGGGCTGCATTGTAGTAGCGCCCACGGAGTCGTGCTCCTCGAGAGATCCCATGACCTGAAGGAAGGACTTCATCCAGTAGTTAACATCATATATTCTCTCACGCCGACGTAAGTGATTCATTCTTAATGTGCGTTCGTCCTCGGGCATGGTGAGCGCTCTGTTAAAATCAGTGTTTAAATCTGGTTTTATTTCATTGTAGACCATCAAAGTGCATCTTAATTAAAACTAGAGTACATAATATAGAAGAGTGAAACTTTGATTCGACAAATAGTATCTAATTTATTCTATTTAAACAATTTCCTTATGTTTTATTATTGAAATGGACAATACCTGTGAATCACCTCTGCGGCCTCGTCGATCTCATAAGGATTGCAAATCAAAGCTTCATGCATCATTTCGCCGGCTCCAGCGAAAGGCGACACTATCAGCACACCCGGCGGTGTATTGATTTGACAGGCAACGAATTCCTTGGCGACTAAATTCATACCGTCCCGGAGTGGTGTGACGAGAGCGACGGCAGCATCCCTGTAGAACGCCGCTAGCTCGTCCTGACTCACGCAGCCGTAAATGTAACGTATGGGCGACCAATTGGGTGTTGTGAAGCGACCGTTTATGCAGCCGATCAGTTGATCCATCTCGAGTTTCAAATCCTGATACTCGCGGACGTCCGTACGTGAGGGTACTGCGATTTGAAGCATCGTCACCTAACATACGCCACGTGATTGAATATGACTGTAAAACAGCTCCGATAGCATCGGCAACTACTTTTGCGAAGCAAGAGCTTGCGAGTAAACGTATTAGATAATGACCTGTTCGCGATGCTCGGGATGTTTCTCCAACAGCATCTCGAAAGCTTTCAATCTGTGAACCAGGCCCTTCGTATAATCGAGTCGATCGACGCCGAGGACGATCTTCTGATTCGACTGCATGACTTTTGTTGCGGTCTCTGCCAATGAAACGAACCTATCGAATGGTATACCGATAGGCAGCGGTCTTACTCGCACCGTTCTACCACCGTGTTCAACCAATAGATTTTTACGATCCACTCTGCAACCGAGACACCTCTGGCAGCAATCGACGAAGTTCAGGCAATAATCTTGAATGTGGAAACCCACCATGTCGCATCCTAAGCCATAAAGAGAATTATGTTAGAAATTTGAGAAAAGTTATTCAAGACAATCTATCTACGCGATATCACTCACCCAGCATACCCTGCAGGATTTCGTCGGCCCACGGGAACAGTCTGAAGATATCCCATGGAGGAAAGGGTATGTGAAGGAAGAAACCTAATTTAAGCTTGAGATTCTTCTCTTCGGCCGCCTGTCTGATCCAATTAGCGGCCAACATCAAATGATAATCGTGGACCCATACCAATGGCGTACCGTTCTGCTGGTTCTCTTGTTCCTTATGAATTTGTTCCAATGCACCAACCTCAAATCAGACAGAATCATTTGGGAGAGCTGATAAATCATTTCATTATTACGATCATATTTCGAGAATACTGCGTATAATATTTCTTTATAATATCACTTAATTCATAATAAATTTTAATTTCTTTTTGTAGTGTGAGAATAATAAATATTATTATAACATTAGATATTACTACATTTGCTACTGAAAAGGAAATATTGAATTAAAAGTAAATTGCGAGGTCTAATGACATTGAGGAGGGGAATTAATGAGATGAGTGGGAATAAAAAATGTTTTCAAACTATAAAAATGCGATCAATATCACAAGTGTCGATCAATATCACAAGAATCATACTGTCTTCGCGGCGAACTGTTCGTTGACCGCGGAATACGCGCGCCAATGTTCCGCGATGAAAGTCGCTCGATCAGGCATAGAATGGAAGAGAGGCCAGAAGGTTCCATTGCAGCATCCGTTGTAATACGAGTCAAAGATGCCGGCATCAACGTGAACCGCTACTACCTGAAAATAAAGAGAGAAAGAGATTGAGACGGGGGGAATATCTCGTCATGTTTCTCCGCAATCATTCGTACTCATGATACGCATTTCTGTCGCTATTCAAGAGGATTAATTTGAGTTACAAGCATGAGAGTACAATGCAATCGTCATGTCAGATAGTGTCAAAATACGGAAAATATTCTTGGCAAACCTGTCAGTGAGTACAATTGTTTTTAGGTGCTCCACATATAAAATAAATAAGTAATGTCATACAGCCGTGCATGTCATGCATATATCGCATATACATGCATGTATGATTAATAATAATAATAATTATTATTATTAATGATATTATATATTAATTATTAATTATAATAATAATCATTGTTAAATATACGGTTCATTTAGAATAATAATGTCTAGCAATAATCATATATAAAATCATGATTATTGCGTGCGTTTTGATTCGTTTTATTAATTCACAAAATAAACATTAAATGACTTAACTTTATGTATCATTTTTTTCTTTGGATTTTGAATTTATCCTACAAAGAAATGGTAATTAAGAATTAAAGAAAATAATAGTCAATAATGGTTTAAATAAAAAAAATTAATAATACATATTTATCATTATGTCATTAATAATAAGTTAATACATTAACGAATATATTAATATGATATGAATACTTCGAACTGTAATTTGTTAACTTTTTTATTCTCCTTAACCAGCTCGTATTATGTTTTTTAATTGGATGTATCGAACTTGATTAACGATTAATTAAAAACTATTCTGCATAATTTATGTCAAGTTGAATTATTATTGATCACATTGTTTTGATAAAGATTTTAGACAAAAGAACTTCAACAAAAGCTATCTTAAAAAAGCTATTTTAAAAAAGCTATCTTAAAAAAAAAATCAGAAAAAAATATATTTTTAAAAGCTTCTAGCTTTATAATATGTTTAAAATATACACACATCAACCTCAAGAGTCATTATAAATTCAACGGAAACGATATCGCAACGCAAGAAATTGATTCAATAACAAGAAATAAAACAGAGTGAATATCAGCTATTATATCAAATGTACGTAAAGCCTAGTTTTGTTTAATCCCGAAACATATAGGTGTAATAGCCTTAAAAAATCAGATTATTTTCTTCATATATTCGATTTTGATTGGCCAATATATCTCACAGCTTAAAACTTACTAAACCTATTGTATGTTTCAGGACTTACCGGTACTCTCTTGAATGTCATTCGTTATCCCGCGAAATTCTGTTATTTTGTCAACGACATTGCCTTCTTTATTTCCGATTACTCGCGTGAAAACAGGCCGTGCCAAGAAAGATCACTCCTGACGCAAATGAGCAATCGCTGACGGGCGATAACGCGGTTTAATACTTCTACGATAGACATAATCAACCGCGGCCTGGTCGTCGGTTTGTTATTTCTCCGGACGGATATCGCCGCTTTACGGGCACATTAATTAAGAGAGGTCAGGGAAAGCGATGCGGCTTTCTTTATCCGTACATGCGTCCGGATTGGGAGATCGTCGCGCATTGTTTTATCGCTCGAAAAAGAAAAATCTCATGCTCGCACATCGGCGAAGTTGCTTAACCGCGTCACGATAAAATATATATCAATTCACCGACAGTGAATTTTTTAATCGTCGAGCGAGATCGGGAAACAAGCGATGACCTCGATCGATTTTAATTTGAGGGATCGCGGGGTCAGAATTATGTTAATGCTGCCGCTTCAAATTACAAACGTCACGTTAAAGCGTTATAAATGCAATTAAAAAATCGTAACAATGTATTTATGGGGATCAGTTTTTCAAGAAGTTTCTCAGGCAAGAAGTCTAATCAAATTTGGTGCAAACGATTTGAGAAATACGCAATCAAGAAATTTCAAATTGATTGAGTTGTTATCCAATAGTTACGAAGAAAAGATTTTAAAAACATCGAATCATGTTTGCGAGAAAAGATGCTTGGAAATTGAAAACAACAAACAAAAGATTTCGTATTATACTAGTTTTGACTGGTATACTGATTGATATACTGACGTATATCATTCGCGGCGCAATTTTTTTGGACGATGATCTCAGATCTTTCTCATTATTAACATAGTTATCTTTGTTATTTAGAAGTATCGGAGATTCAAAATCGCAAAGGCGGATTATTATGAAAATGTGTATCTTACATCTCTGTTTCGTCCAACAGCTCATTTAAGGAAATAATGAAAATACTTTACGAAATTTTTTACAAATACTCGTAATTGCTCGTTATCGCGTGTCTCGCAAGCGTACTCCACGTGACATGACATGATAATCAGCTTTTCCCCCTTGCAACGTTGTTTTTCCTTCTCGTCTTCTTTGTTTCCTATATGCTCATTGTGTTATGCAAACATATTATTGAACGTCCCGGCCAGTGATAGACGGCAAAATAGGGCGGCTGAGCAACGGACGACGTATATAGCCACTGACGAAACGCTAATGATAGTAATGATGAAATCAATGCAAGGCGGAAAATTAAGTTGCAGAATAAAGTAGGAGGAAGAAACTTTTACAGTGTGACAGTAAAAAAACAATTTGTTAGCGTCGATAATCCAAGCGGTATCGAAAATCAACAAGTCATTGCCTTTATTGCTTTCACATAATTAGGGAGACTTTTCCGGAGAACAAGAAAGGTAGTATTTATGTATATTGCACATTTGTGTGGTATTTAATTCTACTTAATACAAAATAAACTTAGAAAACATATTTTAGACAAAAAGTCCAAATTCAGAACGTAAGACATCTTAAGCGGCGTCTGCAATGAAATTTAAAGGCATAAAATTTAAGTTTTAAGTCAAATCGTAAAAAAATAACCAATCAGATGAATGTGAAAATATTAACTATGATTATTCTCAAATTCGATTAATTGATTCAATTTCTCACAGTTTAAATCTTATCTTATCGCTTTACGAGAATGATCTAAAATACGTCTAAAATGCGTCTAAGGGTGCGATCTATTTAAAATGCTTTGAAACATTTGTAGCGTCAAGTGAACCGTAGCCTAAAAGATAAGATAAAGATGTCTTATAAGACGTCTTATGTCCTGATTTTAGATTTCGCGTTGGAGAAATATTTTTTTAATAAAATATCTTTTTAAAAAAAACATCTCTCTGAAAAAAGATATCTCTTTAAAACAGCTTTAATAATAATATATCCTTTCCTTTATATTTTCATAGCATCAAGTATCAAGCATAAAGTATACATAAAGCTTTTATATTTTTATTATTTTGAAGTCATTATTTGTAATTAAAATAATAATTAGATAAATAATTAGATAAATAATTAGATAAATAATTATTATTTTGATTACAAATAATAATTTCTCTCTATTCATAATTTTTCGAGATATTTGCTTAAATATGGAATCGCAATCGTGATTTGCATAACGAAAATATCAAATTACGAGTTAACAATTCTTTCTGTTTTAGCCAATTACGATGGACGTTACATCGTGATTGAAATAGAACTGGGCAACCATTAATTGTAATCATCATTTCATAATCAAATATAAAAAATTAATACTTTCTGGGATTAGTGTTGTCTTCTCTTCTTTCCTCTGTCGGTTGAATAAAAACTATGCCATTGTGAATTTCACGTAACGATAATAATCGTTCGTCGCCACGCAGCCTGCCGATCGCGCCGGGCTTAATCACCGCCCTGTTTTATTTAACGATGTCGAAGGCTATCAAGGCTATCGCTTGGACATCATTATCCACAATCTTGAAGACTCTTGCGGCGATTCACGTGATCCATCGCAACGTTCGCGCGTGGGTGTACATGATGTCCGTTAATCTGTTAATCACTGACATAGCATACCGACAGCTAGCTAAAAGTCAATCATTTCACAAACGATAGGCTTGCAACGCTGTTATACAATTGATAGCCCGATTGACCTCGTGACACGAATATCCGTGACAGTGCCAGACATTTTGGACTTATTTACACATAAAATTGTATTAGGCGACTGATAACATTAGGTGTGTATTTTTTTAGTACAAAAACTATACTGTTATTTCTATTTATTTGGCCAAATTATTTAACTGTCGACAATAGCGTTTGGTTAACGGTTTCATCCTTAAGGGCTTTTAATGAAACACACCTTTCACATCTTATTAGATGCACATGAAACATCTTCATGCCTTCAAAATTACTGCAGTTTGTAATACAATCATTTGCATGTATTGTGAGACACAGTACCTTCATTAAGAACAGAGAAAATTATATGCATTATTAATTATTATAAATAGCTAAAGCTTCGTCGCTCATCGTGTTCACTGTTATTTTCTAAAATTATGTGCATCATTAAATTATAAAATACGGTGTTTCAGATAATTCGATATCAGTCTTACAAATATACGATAAGGAGATAAATTATTTGACTTTACAAAAATTATATCAGAACATTAAAGAAAAAGAAAAATTCGCTAAAACTTTTGCATGCATCTAATAATATTAATAAAAGTAATTAATAATAAAAAAAGAAAAGAAAAAAGAAAAACAATAATGATGCTAATAATAATAATAATGGATAATGCTAAACGCACTTAATGTTATATATTTTTATATTAATTGTGATACATGAAAATGCATGTTCATCCAAATTCTCGGAGATGAACTATTAAATTGGAAATCGAAAATCAATCAATCCAGTTCACACGTAGCGCAGATAAATATGATTCTCGTACATACATAATACGTGATTGATACCGTTGTGCCGGATATATACGTGTCCAAACGTAGGAATTTCAACATTTGTTTCCTACATCATTTTTTCTACAAAGGAAAACAGGTCACCGAACATTTCTCTGTTCATATCAGAAATGTTCCAATAAAAACTGTTAAAGTGCGCCGTTTTTATCGTGTTGTTTCAATCTAGCTAACGACAAAGTAGTTTACGACAATTAGTAATATATGAAGTGCGCGCATTAATCACTATAAAAGCTTTATGCTCTACGTGTAGTAAGTACGTGAAAGAGAATAAAATAATCGTTTCTCAGAAGGCACAGTTGTCGCGTTGCTTTCGTCGAAAAATACGCGACATTGCCGTGAAAAGTCTATTTTCTAAACAAGTACATAAGCTGTTATGAACTATCGCTGAATTTTCTAGAAAAAAATAAAAGACATCTCCGAATTGATCTACTTTACTTTTTTCTACATTGTAAAAAGCAATTTTCGCATAGTCGATATAATGCAATTCGCAAACTCTTTGCAAATCAGTTACTTCATAAATGATTCGCAATCAAGTAATTTTATGTTAACTGTTAATAAATCTAGTATCAACCTAATTTATATAAGTCGCCAATGCTCTTATTCAATATATAGTTATTTTACATCAAAACAATGATTTTTGATACTATAAATTTATATATCGAATAGCGTTGATCCTAGTTGTTACTTTAGTTGAAAGGAAATTGCTGTCGTTATATTATTGTCGACGCTGCTTGCAGCAAAAGATGATCATTTCGAAACATTGGCGTATGGAATATTACAGATTGATTGAGGTGGGGAACGGTGACTATTCTCTCTGCCACGCGGTACACATTGTCAATGCCAAGCATAATATAATACTTCGAGTAATAGAAATAGCGACAATGATAACGCACCATTTGGTCCACCTGAGTTCTGAGTTCTGAAAATCTTTCTTGACCTCATTTTAGTTTAAATACTCAGAAGACCTTCGTGAATACCTCTATACTTAATATTTAAATATTTTAAAAGATTGAAGACCTTAAAAAGGTACTGCTACGACTTGGTGATTGAGAACGAAAATCTCAAAAGCAAGTTTCAACTTTTAAATTATTAATAACCTTTATATAAGTTCGAATATTAACTCTCCGAAATTGATAGGTCTATTGGACTCACTCAACTATAAATCTTTGTAAAAAATGTCAAATAATTCAATTTTCTTTAAGTTGTGTTGCAAATTTTTTATTTTTAATAAAAATTTGCAGATACAACTTGAAGAAAAAAAAATGTGTAATAATGTGTAATTGCTCCTTTTTTAATGAGTTATATTATTTTGGTTCCTTGAAATTAATTAATATTTTTTAATTAGCATAAATTAACATAAACTATTATAAAAATTTTTAGAAACGCATATCCATCTCAAAAAATGTCAATTTAGGAGACAAAAACATTGCAAAACTTTAAGGGAATGCGAGAAAAAAATTGTTTGATTTAAATATGTGAGTCGCGATTGTCTGCACATTGTGACGCAACAATCAATGAGCATATTTATAACGTAAAACCAACGTGGCAATAAAATATTAATTATAAGTATGTGATATAGTATAACAAATTTATGATTGTCCTAGCGATTTAACTGTTGTCTCGAAAAATTTGCACACAAAAGAATCAAAGTGATTTCTAACTATGCGGATTAAATAACTGCGGATTAAATAACGGATTAAATAACTTTTTTCTTTTTTTCTATGTATGAACAATCATAAAAAAACATTACGACTACAAGATCATGGTTACGTAAAGCGCCGCAAAGCGGTCGTAACAAAATATCAAGACGTTGCAATTAATCGTCGTTAAGTGACTCACCTTACGCGATAATAGACCAGCCGTCGGCGTGCGATCGTTGGGATCTGATTCGGGAATTGGCTCATTCGGATTTTCCATGTGCATACCTGGCCATCCGACCCACACTCCATTTCCGTTTATAACAACAGGCGCTACCGCGGTTACCAGACCACCAGCGCTGTAAAAGAAAGAGAAATTCACGAAAAGATGAGCAAAAATAAACAGCTCGTAAAAAGTAAGAGTTTCAGATTTAAAAGAATAAATTTTCTTTTAAAATAATTTTTATAAAGATTTTATGATTTTATGAGAATTAGAATTAGAGAGGAAAGGGTATGTAGGATAGTCTCTCATTTTATTTAAATAAATTGTTATTATAATTCTAAAAAAGATATAATGTAAAAAAAATTACTATAATTTTAAAAAATTAAATATTTTGTTATAAAATTATTTATTTATATAAAAAATAGCTCTTTCTTTATCTCTTATAAAAAACATTCAGCTGTATTAATATTGAATGCTGATATTTTGAAAAATATTACAAAAGTTTCGTTACCATTATATCGTTAACAGTAATGCCTATATGTGAGCTCTAAAACAGAGTTCTAATTATATCTGATATTTTAATTTGATCGTTAACATTAATAAAACAGAAAACAATTTGATAATCGCATTAAGCATATTCTTGAATTTTAACTGCTTTCCATTTCAACTGTTTACAATGCATACATTAAATACATAGAATAAAAAGAATATAAAAATACAAAATTTAATATTGCTCGTTTTTCACCATAGAATTAAAAAATAGGAAAAATAGAATGTAAATGTCTAATTGTAGGAAACAAAGTTTAAGGTCAATATTCATAATTGGTTCTTATATATTTAAGGTCGTCTTAAGTATATTTATATAATAAGACGATCTTACTCTAAGATGTTATAAATAAATCAAAGAAAAGTATTTAGTATCTTAAAACATTATTTAAGATGATTTTGAAATAAGAACCGGCTATGAATATTGGCCTGAGATCACTATCAGAACGTGTCTCGACTCTTTAATGAAAAGTTGATAGTATTGTTATCTTACAACAATTTTATTTCAAATGTAAATTTCAAGACAGCGAAAAAAAATCTTGTGAGAATTGATGTTAAAAAATATGTGCTTGTATTCTCGTCATTTTATAGCTTAATTTCGCTTGTAGTTTAATCGTAAATGAAAGAAACACATTTCTCGCGTGTAAAAGTATATTAGAGAGAGCGTACGTGATTGTAATATACCGTATTAATTGATCGTCGCGGTTTTATTAAGACGCGATTGTCGTAATTAATTATACATTTAGCGAACACATTCAAGCGCGACATTGAGTATAATAACTAACTTGTTTACGCAATGCATCGTCGATTATATGCTCGCCTTGCTTGTAAGCAACTAAAAGAGTTCTTAAAATACGTTGAAACTGTCGAAAGTACGTAACGCGTGAACTTCGATCATTGCGTGGGTATCGATCATGCTGTTTTTGTATGCGATACAATTCACTAATTAGTCAACGCATATCTATATTTTCAAGCAAACTTTGTCAACATCGCGCACGATTTAGTTTTTCTCTCCGTTGAATTGATCAAAGAATATGTGAATGAAAAAGGAGACAGTATAGATTCTCATGTGAACTATGCTGTGCCTTGTGATTACTTTCTGATTGATCTTTACGTACACAGAAAAAAACAATTTTCCTGAAATATCTATAAAAAATTTAGAATAAAGAAAAAAAAAATATATATATATATTTTTTTTTATTTTTATATATATAAAATAGGACTTTTAATAATTGTAAAAATATAATACAGATTTAAGGGGGCTACTTTGGAGCGCGGTAAGAGCGCAATTTATACTTATATAATCATTAATAGTATTAAAAGATGTTAATTTGAACGGTTTTTAGCCATCTTCAGCAAATACATAATTAATACATAACAAAGAATATCTTCTATCCAGTCAGAAAATGAAAAAAGCACAAACATCGTACAAAGAAGTTACTCTTCTTGGTTAACAAGTGATTGCGTTCTCAATCCCATATAACACTGCAGTTAATTACAATATTGAGTAAATGAAAAAGATTTATATAAAACATGTTATGATGAAACTTAAAAATCGTCAAGATGTATCGAATATTCTTAACTGTTTCACTTTCTAAGAATGTAATCTATAAAAAATTTAGTTAAATATAAATCCGAAGATAAATAGTTTATCAAAAAATGTTCTTTTTCTAATTATTAGGTGCTTTTTATAGATTTTTAGATGCTGAAAAAACAAGGTTGCGAACCAAATTTTACCAGCACGTTAAATTTCTGAAATATTGAGGTTTAATGTACAAAAAATATTTTTTTTTGCGATATTTTACATTTTTTTTAAAAAGCTCACAAAAATCTGTATTAAATTCTTTATATTGTGATTGAAAAATAAGAAATTCAGATTAAAGAAATACCTTTTAGGAGATGAGCAGTAATATATTCATGACTTCTGATCAAAATTTTAGGATGCCTATTACTAATATTTTTTTACAAAAAAATGTCAAGTGTTGCAAAAAGCCATTTTGAATCTTAAATATTACGAAAACCTATTAAATTTGATTTGCAGCATGATTTTCAGCATCCAAAAATTTATAAGAAACCTTATCTAGTTCAAAAGAATTTTTTGCTGTAATTTTGTTTTATTATCAATATATTATCAATATTATCAATTACGTAAGAATTTTAAGTATGATAAGCAATATTGCAAAAAATTTTAATATTTTAGCAATATTGTATTGATTTGTCGCAATAATATCAGACGATGTAGCAAAAAAAAAGGATAAGTTTACAGAAACTGAATTGAACGATATACGTGTCGACATACGTGTGCAACAAACAGATTCGACGCAATCAAGCGCATTGATACGTCCCATGTCGAAAATTGAGTTCGTATTATCACTTCAGAATGATAATCAAAAAACCTGTTCGCATCAGTGTTTTTCCATGACCCGGTGTGAGTCTTTTATACGAGAATACATCTCGATTGTGAGCTGCGATATTCATCTCGTGTGGTCAGTCTAAGAGTACATGCGGATGCGACTGGCAAACATGCGATAGACACGTGCGACAATTATGATGCTATATAGCGTCCGTATATCGGCCGCTTTGAGAAATTAATTGTGGTAATTGTGCTCGAGCACCTCGTGTATATACATATTATGATACAGGCGATACACGTAGCCTAATTTACCTTTTCGTTAACCTAATTCATCTTTCCATTCTTAGCCAAGAACATTTTACTTCATAAAAATCGATTGCTCGAGCATAATTATGTGCTCATCCTGAAAAATATTATAATAAAAATAATATTGATGGAAAAACATTCGCGAAATAGTTGAGATAGCATACAAAAAATTAATTTTTTTATAATAAAAAAAATTGATTTATAAGAAATTACTGTAACATAATAGAAGTGGGTTGCCAATTAATTTGATAAACATTATTTCTGAAATGAAATTGTATTTACGATATTCAAAATACTATTAAATTCATAATGTTAAATTATATTCAATTAGAGTTTTTTTAAAATCATTTTTATAAGTCGCCTATTTGCTCCTTGAATTAAATTAACAATTTAATTCAAGAAAATATATATTTGACTAAAGTTTATTATTTACTAAATGCATATATAATATAAATGATGTTTACTTTGAAACTAAACAGGGAAGTAGATTGATTGATTAACGCATATAGAAGTTAAAAACAATACAGTATTATTAATTCATCAAGAAGTTACCATTGTTCCTTTGATATCTAATAGTGAATTGGACATCTTTTTGCGATAAAAAAATATATGATTTAATTGAATATAAGAAAAATAGAAATCAAAGATTGATTATGAAAAATAATTTTTTCTTTGCACAGTTTGTATTTTCATTTCGCAATTTTCTATTTCTGCTGCATAAATTTCGGGATATAAACATTGTGAATGTAAAAAGGCGGATACAAACTTATTGCGTACCCACGAATTATATCATCGTTGCGCATCGATGTAGATAGTGTGTCGCATCGTCATAACATTATTAAAATTGTGGTACACAATGATAAGTGAAGACAGTTTGTCGAATCATTGAATTATTATGCAATACACGGATATACAAGTTTGATATTCGCCAATTAAGATGATTCTAAAGGTGATTCTATACGATCAATAATAGAGAAGACCAGAACTCATTGGCACTGGATTTATGTACTTATAACGGAAGAAACAAAGGAAAAGTTACCGCGAAATATTTCTTTTATAACATAGATACTTTTCTCTAAGTTTTATTTAAGTCAAACAAATATTACAATAGAAAAAAAAAAAATCTGATTCAAGAGAAAGCAAGCAAATTTTTGAACATATTTCATAATTTTGTAATAGATCTTGTATTTTAATTTGTTATTGCCTTTTATAATTTCGTATTAATGTTTACAATATTTATTACACTACAATATATTATGACATAAATCCTAATAAAGCGATACTGATGTTCGAGAATCAAGATCCAGATAATCCTCTACACCGAAAGCGCAATTTTACTGACGAATCTAAAAATTTAGATCCGAAAAATAATTTTGCTGGATCATCAAAACAATTAGATAGGACGACTAAATTGGTTGCTAGAATATCATTTTGCAGCATTACTCATTATACTTAAGATACTTGCAAAATTATTTTGATGGTTTAGCAAACTTTCAGATCTATATCTAACTAAATTTTTAGCTTCTTCAGCAAAATTGCTCTTTCAGTGTACATTAATCTATCAATATTAACCATACGATCAGTAATATTGTTGGTTCATTACTGATAGATTAGTGATCATATAGGGTCACCTTAAGAATTCGCATTAATCTATCCCGATTTGGAATACACAGATCTCGCGTGACATTTTGTAAGAGTTATCATTTATATGCTCGCGATTAGATTACGCCTATCAAAAAAAGTTATTTTGAATGTGATTAAGAAAAACGCCTCGTGCATGTTCGTTCGCAAAGTTCGATCTCTTTTATCAATTCAATTAATCTTCTTCTCTTATTTGGACGTCTTCTTCACTGATGATGATACGGCCAGAATTCAATTAATCGCTTGGTACTATCAATCATTCTTCGGTCAATCGGTCAGATTTTACAGTACGCATCGAATTTTTTCGATCGCTGGTGGCATGTCACAAATACAGCAATGTAAACAATGTCGCGTATAAAATCAAATCGTCATATTTGTCAAATAGGAAGTCGCGGTGGGAAGACTATCACTCTCTAAACACGAAAATTTTAAGTTAAATTTTATTATTCGCATTTTGTCGTTCTTATTACATCACAGATGCTATTAACTATCTATATATATATTCGTTTATTTTCTGATACGACGCGCCTTTTATTGAAATAATCGCTCTTTTTGTTTATGACATATGCACGTTTGCCATCTTTCCTTCTACCTCATTCGGAGTGAAACGTGCACTCTTAAACGTTCCTCTTATAATTTTCCACGCGTTATTAAGAGAGTGACCTTATTTTAGATAATTATAAACACAGTATTTTCATAATTATAAATTTTTTCACAATAATTCGCTCTGCATAAAAAAAAATTAAATTTCAAGATCAAACTGATTCAAAATATTTAAAAAAATTTGTTGTTACGGTCCGTTTTCTCTAATAGATTAATTTTTAGAAAAAGAAAAAAGTAAGTTGAATCAAAATTAAAGTTATATTAGTGGAAACGGACATTAAACTCTTTTTAATAAATTCCATCTTGTTAATCGTGTTACGTATTTTTATTTTGAAAGGGTTAAATGCAATCGAGACGAGAGAACAAGTCGGTGTACCGTAAGATACAAATCATTGTTATGCTATAGAAATATTCTGTAGTTTGACTGTATCTTATGTAAAGATAACGAGACAGTAGCGAATAATGTAACTCTAAAGACGACACATAATCGTAAATAATTTGTCGTTATATCAAGCCACGGTTTTTCAGTTAAATATATAAAAAACGAGATGTAAGTGACATGAATGTCGACAACTTTGAATGTTGTAAATGACACTACGATTCTTAAAAAAGAATCGCTCGAGTAATAATTACAATAATAGTACAGTCCATTTGGTTATCATAAAAGAAAATGCGATATATATATACGCAAATGCGTGAGATATACGTATTGTATAAATAGATATATAAAAACAAAACTTCATAGTTTTAAAATAGCGAATACTATATGATGATTTGTATGAACGATGTTGCGAAATTTCAGTCATTTATGTATTAATTTATGTATTAGTACACATAATAATTTTCCGGTCTTTTACACACAATGAGTTATCCTAGGTTAATTTTCATCACTTTAGTAAATATACAAAAATTATTAAATAATTCTTACGTATACTTTAACATCTTTATATAGAAAGTATTCATAAGATTGTGTATTTATAAAATTTTATATAAATATTATAGCTAATTACTTAATAAACTTAATAAACTTTACTTAATAACTATTCCTATTACTTAATAAACTATTTCTAGTTTTAGAAAAAAAATGTATAGAACATCAGAATGTCGCGAACGACCCAATCTTTTGTACTAAGAGTCAATTAAAGTGTAAGAAATGAAATTTTTTTAAAGAACTGATTTATGCGACCGCATAAGTCATACAATCACGCCGTTCAAGGCGCAAACACTCGCGACAAACGTTGAATACGGAGTGACAGCCAAGTTCTCTCTCTTCTCGCGACTGTCATTCGATTTGCACGTGGTCTCGCGCAAAGACATAAAGCATGAACTGCGCCATTCGTGTGTAAAGAATATAGCAGATATGATAACAAAAATGAAAGAGGAAGACGATCAATGACCTCTCATTACACCGCTGGAAAGAGATAGAGACTAGCTGTCCATATCTTATTCCTCTTATTTTTGTCGCTCAATTTTACGTAGTCCGTACTTTATGTCTTTGATCTCACGCATATCTCCGTTTTTATTTTTTCGCTAGAAAGATAATACAGTGCTACAACAATGCTACAAATGCTTTGAAGCATCCTTTGACTGACCAATTAATAAAGTTCTTTCCTTTGAATCGGTCAATTTAATGCTTCAAAACACAGACTTTGATCACACCCAGACTCTCTAAAACTTTTAGAATAAATTTCATTCTGAAGAATGAAATCCCAGCCTTAAAGATTGAAAATTGAGCCAGTCTTGAGAAAGAGTGGCTCGGTTTTCTTTTTAAATGAGGTTCTACTTCAAAGAGTTCAGATAGGAGGAGAAGAAGAAAATGACACTAACCTGGCTTTGCGTTCCAACTGACCGGTTATCTCGTTCCTCTTAAGCACAAATGGCAACCTGTTGCTCACGACGATCATGCTCCCGTTGGAGGTGAAGCTGCCCGGTTCTATGGACCACATGGTGGTATCAGTATAGTATCGCGACGGGCTCACACAGGAACGTGAAGGTGAGAAGCGCGTGGCGGAACGTTTGGTGGCCGTGGTCTCTCTTAACACGGTCGTCCTTGCCAACGCGAAACGTCAAAGAGTCACGTGCGTTCAGCGCGACTCGGTAAAAAGATGCGGCTCTTTAATGTCTCTTTCTCTCTCTCTCTCTCTCTCTCTCTCTCTCTCTCTCTCTCTCTCTCTCTCTTTCTTCCTCTTATTCTCTTTGTCTATCAGAAATCGGGTCCCTCGTCTAATTATCTCGTACGCGAAAATCTTTTCGCGGTTGCAGTTTACTGTTGCTCTTGGCCAGGGTCCATGATTCACCGGCGTTTTATTCCTCGCCGGTTTACAGATCGCGGAAGGAGAGAGAGAGAGAGAGAAAGAGAGAGAGAGAGAGAGAGAGAGAGCGAAAAGTAAAGGGGGGAAAAAATATTTATAAAAGACAAGTGTGGGGAGCAGGTTGGTCGGGTTGCGCGATGCGTCACGTTACGCAGCCAGGATGACACTAAACTGAAGTCAACCAACGCCGTCGCGCTTTATTCCTCTTAAGTCGGCACGACCGTTTGGTCCAAAGTGCGCTCTCTGTAACCATATCAATGACGGAGGCCGCGACCTTTCAACCACCCGCGCGCGACCGGCCGCCCTCTCGACCGCCGCCGCCGTCATTGCGCGATCAAACAACGCTCTTCGCGACCGAGATGCCGTGGCCATCACCACCGTCAGATGTAAACACACCGGGGTAACCCCGCATCCCGTTTCGAGAACGCAAGATATCGCGGGGATTGTCCGTTCCGATCCGCGATATTCTCTGCTACTTCGAGACCGGATCTTCGACGAAAACGATTTCGGTCGCGACCATGTGACGAATGTTCGAAACGCGCTCCTAAATGCATGATCGATCACTGATCGCGAATCGTTAATCGATCATGGTCGCGTTCGTCACCTTGCAAATGAACCGCTTTCTCTCGACGTCTGCGTTATGTCAAAATTTTTTGGTGGATGATTTGTTTCACAGCGAACAATTTGTAATAGAGACTATAATAAAATTTGATGAGTAATTTGACGAGCAATTTTATTTAAAAAAAAAAGTGAAAAAGAAATATATATGTCTGTATATATTGTCTTTTTTTAATATACTATCTCATTCTAATTTACACTATCTTACTCATTCTAATTTATTGAAGTTGATAAAATCAATGGACCAATTTAAAATTTGTCATCTCATGGCTGAATTGTTATCGGATCTCTAATTTATCTAAAATTTATAATTAACGGAAAAAAAAACGATGAATCAACTGAAATTTTGATGAAAAATCCAGAATTCTAATTAAATCTGTTAGATATTTGGTTAAATCTGCTAGAATTCTAGTAGATTTAACCAGAAATCCAATAGACCAGAATTCTGATCATTCATTTTTCACTAGAATTCCAATTAATTCAACCAAATATTTTTTTCCATATAAAGGCCATTTTCGAGATAAAATTGATGAAGCAATACGAACAAGTTTATCACGGAAAGAACGATTTTGCTGAACTATCTGAAAATGGTCCTAAAAATAATTTTGTGCGATCATCAAAATAATTATTCTCTAAAATTCTCTAAAGAGTGAATTATTCTTACTCTTAAAGACTGGAAATTGAGTCTTTTCAAGACTAGCTCAATTTTTACTCTTTAGAGTGAGAATCCAAAGAATTTAGAAAATATTTAGAACACTTAAATATAATGAGCAATGTTGGAAAAAATGTTGACAATCATTTTACATAATTATTTTGATGATTTAACAAAATTATTTTCAAATTTATCTCCTAAATTTTCAAATACTTTAGCAAAATTGTATTTTCCATGCATAAATATTTTTCCATTTGGCGTGCAAACAATTTTGTTTCTAAATTACTACTAATTGTTCGATGTTCTTTACATAAGATAAGATAATACTTCACTCTTTCCATTGAATCTAGATAAGTAAAATAGCATCTTATCGATAAATTGCTTTGGTAAGATCACGACGTGTGAGAACCTCATCAGTTAAGGATTAACACTCCAATATGGGTGAAAACGATTCTTCATGGGCTTTGAAGATCTTGGAATTATTAATAACTAAAGTACAAAAAAAAAATGACATTATGTGTCTTTCTTTCTAAGTGAGTACTATATAAATGGTGACGTGGAAATTGGAATGGTTATTGGAAGGTTCAATTAGTGTTTTTCGCGGTTAAGTTCGGAAAAAGTTTTATGGTGAATTATTCGCGCCTCGACGCTAAGCGCATTTAGCCGAAAGCTGTGATATAAATATATCTGAAAAAAATGTTATCGTCACGTTGCGAATGCGTGTCACCGTCGTCGCCGTCGTCGTCGCCTTCATCATTGTCGTCATCAGCAGGCTCACGGGCAAAATGTGGAAAATTGGCACGCGTCGCGCACGCGGTGCGCGCGTTTTAATCTACGCGGAAGTATTTACATCTTTGCGGGTAGATTGATGACGCACGAGCGAAAAATAAGAGAGAGAGGAGAATAGCTACGAAAAGAATGATCTTGCTAAAAATGATTCGACGTCATTCTCCGTTGGTCGTGACACTTCTAGCACAAAGAGAGATAACGTTTCTTCTAATTGTATGCTAAAAGAACAATTTTGTTGTAGTATCTAAAACTTTAGGTTAGATAAAAATAATTGTAATAATGAACATAATTTTGTTGGACCATAAAAATAATTGTAAGAAACACCCAAGTGATGAATAATGCTGCAAAAAGACATTCTAGTAATTTTCTACATAATTATTTTGATAATCCAACAAAATTATTTTCAAATCTATAATATATCTAATTAATTTTTTAGATATCTACTTCAGCAAAATTGCCGTTTCTATATAGTTACAAAATATTCCTATATAGTTACAATTCTACATAGAAAGAACGATTTTGAAGTGTCTAAAAAAAGTTAGCTAGATACAGATCTGAAAGTAATTTTGATAGATTATAAAAATAATTACTAAGTTTTTACAAGAAATAATTACGTAGAAAAGCATAATGATTTAGACTTTTGATACTCTAGCAATCAATTTCCTACGTAATTATTTTAATGGTCCAACAAAATTATTTTCAGGTCTGTATCCAGCTAAATTCCATAGTAACATCTAATTATTGGCATAATATTGAGATATTAGCTAAATATATGCCAAAATTTAATCAATGTATTTCCAATAAATTTCTATTAGAATTTTCGGATATTTGAGCAAAACTATTCTTTTTGTGTTCTATTTAAAGAAACATTAACCTTTTGAAATTTTTGTACTAATTTTTGTGCTCAAAACGATCGATATGTACTCGCGAGTTTTAAATAATGATTCCAAATATGTGTGTGTGTGTGTGTGTGTGTGTGTGTGTGTGTGTATGTGTGTGTGTGTGTGTGTGTGTGTGTGTGTGTGTGTGTGTGTGTGTGTGTGTGT